GTGCGGCTAGGAAGAAGGACGGTGTTGGGCCATTGACACCAATAGTCCGTCGAAAACTATACTGAAATTTGGCAAATAGAAGATTTCATAGAGGCTGAACTGGCTATCATTGAATACCTTGCCTTTATTGGTCTCTATCATAATGTCATCTGCCGCGAAACAGAATTTCCTCATCACATTTTGACCAAAATGATCGCAAAGAACTCGGGTGAACTAAAGGCCATTTTAAGAGCTTTAAAGCAGCGATATTACATTGCAATAGACCTTGTGCAGGATGTTGTACCCCTGCTGGAAGACAAAGATGAAGATGTCAGAGGGTTGGCTGCTGGTGTTCTAGGAGGGCAGAACAGTCTACCAGAAAATGCACTGCAGGGTCTTGTATCTCTGCTGAAGAACAAAGATGGATATGTCAGACAGTCAGCTGCTGATGCTCTAGGAAAGCAGAGCAGCCTATCAGAAGATGCACTGCAGGGCCTTGTATCTCTGCTGAAGGACAAAAATGAAGATGTCAGACAGTCGGCTGCTGATGCTCTAGGAAAGCAGAGCAGCCTACCAGAAGATGCACTGCAGAGCCTTGTATCTCTGCTGAAGGACAAAAATGAAGATGTCAGACAGTCGGCTGCTGATGCTCTAGGAAAGCAGAGCAGCCTACCAGAAGATGCACTGCACGGTCTTGTATCTCTGCTGAAGAATAAAAATGGATATGTCAGACAGTCAGCCGCTTATACTCTAGGAAAGCAGAACAGTCTATCAGAAGATGCACTGCAGAGTCTTGTATCTCTGCTGAAGGACAAAGATGGAGATGTCAGGCAGTCAGCTGCTGATGCTCTAGGAAAGCAGAACAGTCTATCAGAAGATGCACTGCAGGGTCTTGTACCTCTGCTGAAGGACAAAGATGGATATGTCAGACATTCAGCTGCTTATACTCTAGGAAAGCAGAACAGTCTATCAGAAGATGCACTGCAGAGTCTTGTATCTCTGCTGAAGAACAAAAATATAGATGTCAGACAGTCAGCCACTTATGCTCTAGGAAAGCAGAACAGTCTACCAGAAGATGAACTGCAGGGCCTTGTATCTCTGCTGAAGGGCAAAAATGAATATGTCAGACAGTTGGTCGCTGATGCTCTAGGAAAGCAGAACAGTCTACCAGAAGATGGT